CGTCGAACCACGTCACACCACACCACGTCACACCACGTCACACCACACCACGTCACACCGCGTCACGTCACACCACGTCACACCACGTCACACCACGTCACATCACACCACGTCATACCACGTCACACCATACTACGTGGGGGTGTGTGTTAGTGGGTGTGTGTTAGTGGGTGTGTGTTAGTGGGTGGGTGTTAGTGGGTGTGTGTTAGTGGGTGTGTGTTAGTGGGTGTGTGTTAGTGGGTGTGTGTTAGTGGGTGGGTGTTAGTGGGTGTGTGTTAGTGGGTGTTAGTGTGTGTGTGTTAGTGGGTGGGTGTTAGTGGGTGCTAGTGAGCGTGTGTTAGTGGGTGGGTGTTAGTGGGTGTTAGTGGGTGGGTGTGTGTTAGTGGGTGTTAGTGGGTGGGTGTTAGTGGCTGGGTGTTAGTGGGTAGGTGTTAGTGGGTGTTAGTGGCTGGGTGTTAGTGGGTAGGTGTTAGTGGGTGTGTGTTAGTGGGTGGGTGTTAGTGGGTGGGTGTTAGTGGGTGTGTGTTAGTGGGTGTGTGTTAGTGGGTGTTAGTGGGTGTTAGTGGGTGGGTGTTAGTGGGTGGGTGTTAGTGGGTGGGTGTTAGTGGGTGTGTGTTAGTGGGTGGGTGTTAGTGGGTGTGTGTGGGTGGGTGTTAGTGTGTGGGTGTTAGTGGGTGTTAGTGGGTGGGTGTTAGTGGGTGTTAGTGAGTGTTAGTGGGTGTTAGTGGGTGGGGGTCAGTGGGTGTTAGTGGGTGGGTGTTAGTGGGTGTTAGTGGGTGGGTGTTAGTGTGTGTTAGTGTGTGTTAGTGGGTGTGAGTGGGTGTTAGTGTGTGTTAGTGGGTGTGTGTTAGTGGGTGGGTGTTAGTGGGTGGGTGTTAGTGGGTGTGTGTTAGTGGGTGTGTGTTAGTGGGTGTTAGTGGGTGTTAGTGGGTGTGCGTTAGTGGGTGGGTGTTAGTGGGTGGGTGTTAGTGGGTGTGTGTTAGTGGGTGGGTGTTAGTGGGTGTGTGTGGGTGGGTGTTAGTGTGTGGGTGTTAGTGGGTGTTAGTGGGTGGGTGTTAGTGGGTGTTAGTGAGTGTTAGTGGGTATTAGTGCGTGGGGGTCAGTGGGTGTTAGTGGGTGGGTGTTAGTGGGTGTTAGTGGGTGGGTGTTAGTGTGTGTTAGTGTGTGTAAGTGGCTGTTAGTGGGTGGGTGTTAGTGGCTGGGTGTTAGTGGGTGTTAGTGGGTGTGGGTTAGTGGGTGGGTGTTAGTGGGTGTTAGTGGGTGAGTGTTAGTGGGTGTGTGTTACTCAGTGTTAGTGGGTGTGTGTTAGTGGGTGTGTGTTAGTGGGTGTGTGTTAGTGGGTATTAGTGTGTGTTAGTGGGTGTTAGTGTGTGTTAGTGGGCGTGTGTTAGTGTGTGTTAGTGGGTGTGTGTTAGTGGATGTGTGTTAGTGTGTATTAGTGGGTGTTAGTGGGTGTTAGTGGGTGTCTGTTATCTTGTGTAGAGTGTGTTAGTGGGTGGTTGTTAGTGGGTGTGTGTTAGTGGGTGTTAGTGGGTGTGCGTTAGTGTGTGTTAGTGGGTGTTAGTGGGTGTTAGTGAGTGTGTGTTAGTGTGTGTTAGTGGGTGTTAGTGGGTGTTAGCGGGTGTTAGCGGGTGTTAGTGTGTGTGTGTTAGTGGGTGTGTGTTAGTGTGTGTTAGTGTGTGTTAGTGGTTGTATGTTAGTGGGTGTGTGTTAGTGTGTGTTAGTGTGTGTTAGTGTGTGTGTGTTAGTGTGTGTTAGTGGGTGTATGTTAGTGGGTGTGTGTTAGTGTGTGTTAGTGGGTGTATGTTAGTGGGTGTGTGTTCATGTGTGTTAGTGGGTGTGTGTTAGTGTGTTAGTGGGTGGGTGTTAGTGGGTGTGTGTTGGTGTGTGGTAGTGGGTGGTAGTGTGTTAGTGGGTGTGTGTTAGTGGGTGTTAGTGTGTGTTAGTGTGTGTTAGTGGGTGTGTGTTAGTGGGTGTTAGTGGGTGTGTGTTAGTGGGTGTTAGTGTGTGTTAGTGTGTGTTAGTGGGTGTGTGTTAGTGTGTGTTAGTGTGTGTTAGTGGGTGTTAGTGTGTGTTAGTGTGTGTTAGTGTGTGTTAGTGGGTGTTAGTGTGTGTTAGTGGGTGTTAGTGGGTGTTAGTGTGTGTTAGTGTGTGTAGTGTGTGCTAGTGTGTGTTAGTGTGTGTAGTGTGTGCTAGTGTGTGTTAGTGTGTTAGTGTGTGTTAGTGTGTGTTAGTGGGTGTTAGTGTGTGTTAGTGTGTGTTAGTGTGTGTAAATGGGTGTTAGTGGGTGTATGTTAGTGTGTGTTAGTGTGTGTGTTAGTGTGTGTAGTGTGTGTTAGTGGGTGTTAGTGTGTGTGTGTGTTAGTGTGTGTTAGTGTGTGTTAGTGGGTGTCAGTGGGTGTGTGTTAGTGTGTGTTAGTGTGTGTTAATGTGTGTTAGTGGGTGTTAGTGTGTGTTAGTGTGTGTTAGTGGGTGTTAGTGTGTTAGTGTGTGTTAGTGTGTGTTAGTGTGTGTCAGTGGGTGTGTGTTAGTGTGTGTTAGTGTGTGTTAGTGGGTGTCAGTGGGTGTGTGTTAGTGTGTGTTAGTGTGTGTTAGTGGGTGTCAGTGGGTGTGTGTTAGCGTGTGTTAGTGTGTGTTAGTGGGTGTTAGTGTGTGTTAGTGTGTGTTAGTGTGTTAGTGTGTGTGTTAGTGGGTGTTAGTGTGTGTTAGTGTGTGTTAGTGTGTGTCAGTGGGTGTGTGTTAGTGTGTGTTAGTGGGTGTCAGTGGGTGTGTGTTAGTGTGTGTTAGTGGGTGTCAGTGGGTGTGTGTTAGCGTGTGTTAGCATGTGTTAGTGTGTGTTAGTGGGTGTGTGTTAGTGGGTGTTAGTGTGTGTTAGCGTGTGTTAGCGTGTGTTAGTGGGTGTGTGTTAGTGTGTGTTAGTGTGTGTTAGTGTGTGTTAGTGGGTGTGTGTTAGTGTGTGTTAGTGGGTGTTAGTGGGTGTTAGTGTGTGTTAGTGGGTGTTAGTGGGTGTTAGTGGGTGTCAGTGGGTGTGTGTTAGTGTGTGTTAGCGTGTGTTAGTGTGCGTTAGTGGGTGTTAGTGGGTGTTAGTGGGTGTTAGTGGGTGTTAGTGTGTGTTAGTGTTTGTTAGTGTGTGTTAGTGGGTGTGAGTAGGTGTGTGTTAGTGTGTGTTAGTGGGTGTTAGTGTGTGTTAGTGTGTGTTAGCGTGTGTTAGCGTGTGTTAGTGGGTGTTAGTGTGTGTTAGTGGGTGTTAGTGGGTGTTAGTGGGTGGGTGTTAGTGGGTGTTAGTGGGTGGGTGTTAGTGGGTGTTAGTGTGTGTTAGTGTGTGTTAGTGGGTGGGTGTTAGTGGGTGTTAGTGGGTGGGTGTTAGTGGGTGGGTGTTAGTGGGTGCTCACCCACGTGGTAGAATGTGAAGCACATTGTCATCAGATTCTTGGCCGGCACAAAATCCTCCAGCGCATTGCACCTTCGACGGAGGACAACAACAACAACAACAGTCAACAACAACAACAGTCAACAACAACAACAACAGTCAACAACAACAACAGTCAACAACAACAACAGTCAACAACAACAACAGTCAACAACAACAACAGTCAACAACAACAGTCAACAACAGACAACAACAACAACAGTCAACAACAACAACAGACAACAACAACAGTCAACAACAACAGTCAACAACAACAACAGTCAACAACAACAACAGACAACAACAACAGTCAACAACAACAACAGTCAACAACAACAACAGACAACAACAACAGTCAACAACAACAACAGTCAACAACAACAACAGTCAACAACAACAACAGTCAACAACAACAACAGTCAACAACAACAACAGACAACAACAACAGTCAACAACAACAACAGTCAACAACAACAACAGACAACAACAACAGTCAACAACAACAACAGTCAACAACAACAACAGTCAACAACAACAACAGTCAACAACAACAACAGTCAACAACAACAGTCAACATTAGCAGCGGTATTTCCCGTTTAGCCAGGCAAGCGCTTGCAGTGAAAGAACGGGAGACTGAGTGAGTGAGTGGCTGAGTTAGTGAGTGGGTGGGTGAGTGAGTGGGTGACTGAGTGAGTGAGTGGGTGAGTGAGTGAGTGGGTGAGTGAGTGAGTGGGTAAGTGAGTGGGTGAGTGAGTGGGTGACTGAGTGGATGAGTGAGTGGGTGAGTGAGTGAGTGGCTGAGTGAGTGAGTGGCTGATTGGGTGAGTGAGTGGGTGAGTGAGTGAGTGAGTAAGTGAGTGAGTGAGCGAGTGAGTGAGTGAGTGGGTGACTGAGTGGGTGAGTGAGTGGGTGACTGAGTGGGTGACTGAGTGAGTGACTGAGTGGGTGACTCAGTGGGTGACTCAGTGGGTGACCCAGTGGGTGACTGAAAGGGTGACTGAGTGGGTGACTGAGTGAGTGAGTGACTGAGTGAGTGGGTGACTGAGTGGGTGAGTGAGTGGCTGAGTGACTGAGTGGGTGACTGAGTGGGTGACTGAGTGGGTGGGTGAGTAGGTGAGTGGGTGAGTGAGTGACTGAGTGGGTGAGTGAGTGAGCGAGTGAGTGGGTGACTGAGTGGGTGAGTGAGTGAGTGAGCGAGTGAGTGAGTGGGTGACTCAGTGGGTGACTCAGTGAGTGATTGAGTGGGTGACTGAGTGAGTGGGTGACTCAGTGGGTGACTGAGTGGGTGACTGAGTGGGTGACTGAGTGGGTGACTCAGTGGGTGACTCAGTGGGTGACTCAGTGGGTGACTGAGTGGGTGACTCAGTGGGTGACTCAGTGGGTGACTGAGTGGGTGACTGAGTGGGTGACTGAGTGGGTGACTGAGTGGGTGACTCAGTGGGTGACTGAGTGGGTGACTGAGAGGGTGAGTGAGTGGCTGAGTGAGTGAGTGGGTGACTGACTGAGTGGGTGACTGAGTGGGTGAGTGAGTGGGTGACTCAGTGGGTGACTCAGTGGGTGAGTGACTGAGTGGGTGACTGAGTGAGTGGGTGACTGAGTGAGTGACTGAGTGAGTGGGTGACTGAGTGTGTGGGTGACTGAGTGAGTGGGTGACTGAGTGGGTGGGTGACTCAGTGGGTGACTCAGTGGGTGACTCAGTGGGTGACTCAGTGGGTGACTCAGTGGGTGACTCAGTGGGTGACTCACTCGAACAGCACGACAGCGAATGACTGCACAAGGCGGTAGAACGTTTGCTCCGAGACGCACTTGGAGATGCACCTCTGTGGAGAGACAATGGCGGAGAAGCATCAACCTCCACCACCACCACCACCAGCAACACCACCACCACCACCACCTCCACCAGCAACACCACCACCAGCAACACCACCACCAGCAACACCTCCACCACCACCACCACCAGCAACACCACCACCACCACCTCCACCAGCAACACCACCACCAGCAACACCACCACCACCAGCAACACCACCACCACCAGCAACACCACCACTACCACCACCAGCAACACCACCACTACCAGCAACACCACCACTACCAGCAACACCAACACCACCACCACCACCAGCAACACCACCACCAGCAACACCTCCACCACCACCACCACCAGCAACACCACCACCACCACCACCTCCACCAGCAACACCACCAGCAACACCACCACCACCACTACCAGCAACACCACCACCAGCAACACCACCACCACCAGCAACACCACCACCACCTCCACCAGCAACACCACCATCAGCAACACCACCACCAGCAACACCACCAACACCACCACCACCACTACCAGCAACACCACCACCAGCAACACCAACACCACCACCACCACCACCAGCAACACCACCACCAGCAACACCACCAACACCACCACCACCACTACCACCACCACTACCAGCAACCCCACGACCACCACCACCAGCAACACCACCAACACCACCACCACCAGCAACCCCACCACCACCAAAAGCAACCCCACCACCACCAGCACCACCACCACCACTACCAGCAACACTACCACCACCACCATTACCAGCAACACCACCACCACTCCCACCACCACCACCCCCACCACTCCCACCAACACCACCCCCACCACTCCCACCACCACCACTCCCACCACTCCCACCACCATCACCACCCCCCATGGTGAGTGAGCGAGCGAGAGAGTGAGTGAGCGGGTGAGTGTGTGAGTGAGTGTGTGAATGAGTGCATGAGTGAGCGAGCGAGTGAGTGATTGGGTGAATGAGTGAGTGGGTGAGTGGGTGAGTGAGCGTGTGAGTGTGTGAGTGAGTGGGTGAGTGAGTGAGTGATTGGGTGAATGAGTGAGTGGGTGAGTGAGCGTGTGAGTGTGTCAGTGAGCGAGCGAGGGAGCGAGTGGGTGAGTGTGTGAGCGAGTGAGCGAGTGAACGAGTGGGTGTGTGAGCGAGTGAGTGCGTGACTCTGAGAATGAGTGGGTGAGTGAGCGGGTGAGTGAGCGAGTGAGTGGGTCTGTGAGTTGGTGAGCGAGCGAGCGGGTGAGTGAGGTGTGAGCGAGTGAGTGGGTCTGTGAGTGGGTGAGCGAGCGGGCGGGTGAGTGAGCGTATGAGCGAGTGAGTGAGTGAATGGGTGAGTGGGTGAGCGAGTGAGTGAGCGAGCGAGTGAGCCAGTGAGTGATTGAGCGAGTGAGCCAGTGAGTGAGTGATTGAGCGAGTGAGTGAGTGAGTGAGCCAGTGAGTGAGTGATTGAGCGAGTGAGTGAGTGAGTGAGCCAGTGAGTGAGTGAGTGAGCCAGTGAGTGAGTGAGTGAGCGAGCGGGTGAGTGAGTGAGTGAGTGAGCCAGTGAGTGTGTGAGTGAGTGGGTGAGTGAGTGAGTGAGCGAGCGGGTGAGTGAGCGAGCGAGCCGGTGAGTGAGTGAGCGCCTGAGCGAGTGAGTGAGTGAGCGAGCAAGCCAGCAAGCGAGTGAGCGAGTGAGTGAGTGAGCCAGTGAGTGAGCGAGCGAGCCGGTGAGTGAGCGAGCGGGTGAGTGAGCGAGTGAGCGAGCGAGCCGGTGAGTGAGTGAGCGGCGGAGCGAGCGAGTGAGTGAGTGAGTGAGCGAGTGGGTGAGTGAGTGAGCGAGTGAGCGAGCGAGCCGGTGAGTGAGTGAGCGGCTGAGCGAGCGGGTCGGACGGGACGTCTGGGAGCAACCCCTGACCTGTGCACAGATGAGCCGTGAAAACCACTCCCTGCCACAGCCGAGGGGCTCCTGGCAGAGCTGCCCAAAGCAGGCCTTGCGCTCCTGTCCCATGTCCGTCCTGCGGGGACAAAATTATCACAAACACCCCCGCGTCGCCAACGCTAGAACCGACGGTGGTTAGGAGATGTTGACCACCTCGCCTGGTATACAGGAGGTCTATGTGGAGTCTGTGTCTCTCTCATCATCATCATCACGGTGGCTAGGAGATGTTGACTACCTCGCCTGGTCTACAGGAGGTCTATGTGGAGTCTGCGTCTCTCTCATCATCATCATCACGGTGGCTATGAGATGTTGACTACCTCGCCTGGTCTACAGGAGGTCTATGTGGAGTCTGCGTCTCTCTCATCATCATCATCACGGTGGCTAGGAGATGTTGACTACCTCGCCTGGTACGCGGGAGGTCGCGGGTTCAATCCCGACCCCTCCTGTAGATGTGGAGTGTGCGTCTCTCTCCCATCATCATCATCATCACGGTGGCTAGGAGATGTTGACTACCTCGCCTGGTCTACAGGAGGTCTATGTGGAGTCTGTGTCTCTCTCTCATCATCACGGTGGCTAGGAGATGTTGACTACCTCGCCTGGTCTACAGGAGGTCTATGTGGAGTCTGTGTCTCTCTCTCATCATCATCACGGTGGCTAGGAGATGTTGACTACCTCGCCTGGTCTACAGGAGGTCTATGTGGAGTCTGCGTCTCTCTCTCTCACTCACCATCATCACAGTGGCTATGAAATGTTGACTACCTCGCCTGGTACGCGGGAGGTCGTGGGTTCAATGTGGAGTCTGCGTCTCTCTCTCCATGGCCACTGCGTGGATTTGTCTCCGGGACCTCCGCATTAAGAATCAACGCCACCACCACGCTGTTTGAGAGCGATTGCCTGCTGCTGCACATTTACACGTGGTGATGCTGCTGATGATGATGAGGCAAATGGGTTGAGCGAGCGATTGTGGTGGTCAGGGCAGCCTCTGGACAAAGAGCTCCAACACAGCAGTTCCGTGGGGCCTTACACCCTGGTAAGATGTCTCTGTGTGTCTCTGTGGGTCTCTGTGGGTCTCTGTGGGTCTCTGTGGGTGTCTGTGGGTGTCTGTGGGTCTCTGTGGGTCTCTGTGGGTCTCTGTGGGTCTCTGTGGGTCTCTGTGGGTCTCTGTGGGTCTCTGCGGGTCTCTGCGGGTCTCTGCGGGTCTCTGCGGGTCTCTGCGGGTCTCTGTGGGTCTCTGTGGGTCTCTGTGGGTCTCTGTGGGTCTCTGTGGGTCTCTGTGGGTCTCTGTGTGTCTCTGTGGGTATCTGTGGGTCTCTGTGGGTCTCTGTGGGTCTCTGCGTGTCTCTGTGTGTCTCTATGTATCTCTGTGTGTCTCTGTGGGTATCTGTGGGTCTCTGTGGGTCTCTGTGTATCTCTGTGTGTCTCTGTGTGTCTCTGTATCTCTGTGTGTCTCTGCGGGTCTCTGCGGGTCTCTGTTGGTCTCTGTGGGTCTCTGTGTGTCTATGTGGGTCTCTGTGGGTCTCTGTGTATCTCTATGGGTGTCTATGTATCTCTGTGTGTCTCTGTGTGTCTCTGTGTGGCTGTGTGTGTCTCTGTGTGTCTCTGTGTGTCTTTGTGTGTCTGTGTGTCTGTGTGTGTCTCTGTGGGTCTCTGTGTGTCTGTGTGTCTGTGTGGGTCTCTGTGGGTCTCTGTGAGTCTCTGTGGGTCTCTGTGTGTCTCTGTGGGTCTCCGTGTGTCTCCGTGTGTCTCTGTGCGTCTCTGTGGGTCTCTGTGGGTCTCTGTGGGTCTCTGTGGGTCTCTGTGTCTCTATGTGTCTCTATGTATCTCTGTGTATCTGTGTGTCTTTGTATGTCTAGGAGTGTGTCTATGTGTCTCTATGTATCTCTACGTATCTCTGTGTCTCTGTGTCTCTGTGTGTCTCTGTGTGTCTCTGTGGGTCTCTATGTGTCTCTGTGGGTCTCTGTGCGCCTATGTGTCTCTGTGTGTGTCTGTGTGTGTCTTTGCGTGTCTTTGCGTGTGTCTCTGCGTGTCTCTCCGTGTCTCTGTGTGTCTCTGTGTGTCTCTGTGTGTCTCTATGTCTCTCTGTGTCTCTCTGTGTGTCTCTCTGTGTGTCTCTCTGTGTCTCTCTGTGTCTCTGTGTCTCTCTGTGTCTCTCTCTGTGTCTCTGTGTCTCTCCGTCTCTGTATCTGTGTGTCTCTGTGTCTCTCTGTCTCTGCGTGTCTCTCCGTGTCTCTGTGTCTCTGTGTCTCTGTGTGTCTGTGTGTCTCTGTGTGTCTCTGTGTGTCTCTATGTCTCTCTGTGTGTCTCTGTGTCTCTCTGTGTGTCTCTCTGTGTCTCTCTGTGTCTCTGTGTCTCTCTGTGTCTCTCTCTGTGTCTCTGTGTCTCTCCGTCTCTGTATCTGTGTGTCTCTGTGTCTCTCTGTCTCTGCGTGTCTCTCCGTGTCTCTCTGTGTCTCTGTGTCTCTGTGTCTCTGTGTGTCTCTGTGTGTCTCTGTGTGTCTCTGTCTCCGTCGGTCTAGGCCACCACTGCCGAGCCGACGGCCGCGACGGGGAAGTCGCGGTGGATGTCACGGGGGGTGAGGGGGGGGGTGAGGGGGGGGTGAGGGGGGGCTGAGGAATTAAGGAAGTTGAGGTGATTAGGTTACTAATCCCCGGGACAAGACAGAGAGAGGGAGAGGGCAGTGAGATCACTGAGAGTCTGGGTTCAAGCCCTGGGTCTGGGTGTCTCTCTCTCTCAGGGGGTTCACGATGGCCGTGTCAGAGACACTGAGAGTCTGGGTTCAAGCCCTGGGTCTGGGTGTCTCTCTCTCAGGGGGTTCACGATGGCCGTGTCAGACACACTACACTCAAGCACCAACAACAACAGCCGCCATTCGCCACTAAGTGGCGGTGACGTCACCACGACGCTTGTGCCAGGCCATGTGCACCCTGAGGCCACGTGAAGTGTCGAACGCCCGTTGGCAGGAGGTCACGGGGCAGACCCAGGTGCCACGGGTCGACTGACTGAGATGACTGAGATGACTGGCTAATGCACCACCTGTGCCCCCTACTGTGCCAACCTGCTGTGCTTTAGCCACCCGGCGCTCCGCTCGTTGTTGTGAGCGTCGCTCCTCCGCCCTCCATTGCTGTTGGAGGGCGACTGCCTCCAACTGCCCAGTAGCGTCCTTCACGAGCCTCCTCCACAGAGGCCGATCTTGACACCGCTGGTACCGGTCATCGGCAAGTCGACTCAGCTCCACGTCCTCCTGTACCACGTCACTCCATCTCTTCTCTAGCCCGTGCCGCGCCCGTTTAGCCCCCTCGATCCGGCCGAACAAAAGCTGTTTGGGCATGCGGTGGCTGGGCATGCGGGCTACATGGCCCAGCCAACGCAGCCTTGCCTGCCGGAGGAGCTCACCGATGGGACCTTGCCCAGATCTTTCGAAGATTTGTGAGCTCCTCACACAATCCAGCCTGCAGGTTAAACCCAGGATGGATCGTAGGCAGGCCAGCCTAAATGTTTCTAACCGGTGAAGATGTTCCACACACCACACACTCACCGCACACACACCACCGCACACACACCACACTCACTCACCCTCCGATGAAGATGGTGTCGATGTACTCGCGCATGAACAGCCTCGTCTCTTCCTCCGTGAGGCTCCGTGCCGAGGTGCCGGACTGCGAGGCTGTCGTGGTGCTGGTGGTGGTGGTGGTGCCGGACTGGGAGGCTGTGGTGCTGGTGGTGGTGGTGGTGGTGCAGCTGCTGCTGCTGCTGCTGCGCCGCCCGGTTAAGTCGGCGTTGGTACCACCACCGTCACCACCGTCACCGCCACCATTACTACCGCTACGCTTATCGCCTTCACCATGATCGCCGTTACTGTGACCACTGCCACGACCGACAACGCTGCCATTACAACCACCACCGCCGCCACCACCATGGCCATCGATGCCACCACAACCCCCACCACCAACGTCATGATCCACACAACCAAGATCATCGCCACCACCGCCACCACCACCACGGGCAACCACACAAACGGCAATTCCATTACCACCACCACCACCTACACAACCGCCAATGCCATTACCAACACTGCCAACACCACCACCACCACTATGACTAATGCCACCACAACCACCACCTCCACCACCACTACCACCACCTACACAACCGCCAATTCCATTACCAACACCGCCTCCACCACCACCACCACCAATGCCACCATCACCACCTCCACCACTAATGCTACCACCACCTCCCCCACTAACGCTACCACCACCACTAACGCCACCAGCACCACCTCCACCACCACCACCACCACAGCCTCCACCACTAACACCACCACCACTAACGCCACCACCTACACAACCACCAACACCACCACCACTAACGCCACCACCACTAACGCCACCACCTACACTACCACCACCACCATTAACGCCACCACCTACACAACCACCACCACCACCAATGCCACCACCTACACAACCACCACCACCACCACTAACACCACCACCACTAACACCACCACCACTAACACCACTAACACCACCACCACAACCACCACCAACACCACCACTAACACCAACACCACCAACACCACCAACACCACCACCACTAACGCCACCACCTACACAACCACCACCACCACCACTAACACCACCACTAACACCACCACCACTAACACCAGTAACACCACCACCACTAACACCACCACCACCACCACCACCTACACAACCACCACCACCACCACCACTAACACCACCACCACCACCTACACAACCACCACCACCACCACTACCACCACCACCACTAACACCAACACCACCACCACCTACACCACCACAACCACCACCACCACCACCGCAGGCAGCGCCAGGCAGCTGGTGCAAGGCGGTGGTCGCAACCTCCATCGTGGCGGCCGCTCCAACGCTGGCCGGGCTGCGCTGGCGAGGAGGGGGTTGGTGGATCACCTGCGGATGGGAGAGAGGCACAGGGAGGGCGGGGGTGGCGGTGGGGTTCAGGTCTCGGCCGTCGTCACGGCAACGTCTCGGCCGTCGTCACGGCGTCTCGGCCGTCGTCACGGCAACGGCTCGGCCGTCGTCACGGCAACGTCTCGGCCGTCGCCGAGGCAGGAGCTGGCGGCAGGCTTGGCGGGGTTTGTGCAGCGCATGACGTCATCGTCGTCATCGTCGTCATTGTTGTCGTCATCGTCGTCATTGTTGTCGTCATCGTCGTCATCGTCGTCGTCATCGTCGTCAATGTCGTTGTCATCGTCATCATCGTCGTCATCGTCGTCATCGTCGTCATTGTTGTCGTCATCGTCGTCATCGTCGTCGTCAATGTCGTTGTCATCGTCATCATCGTCGTCATCATCGTCATCGTCGTCATCATCCTCATCATCGGCACCGTCGTCATCATTGTCATCATCGTCGTCGTCATCATCGTCGTCATCATCATCGTCATCATCATCGTCATCATCATCGTCGTCATCGTCATCATCATCGTCATCGGCATCATCGGCATCGTAGTCATTGTCATCGTTGCTGTGGCGTCTCTGCGTCTCTATGGGTCTGAGTCTCTGTGGGTGTCCATGAGTCTTTGTGGGTGTCTATGCGTCTCTGTGGGTGTCTATGAGTCTCTGTGGGTGTCTATGAGTCTCTGTGGGTGTCTATGAGTCTCTGTGTGTGTTTATGAGTCTCTGTGAGTGTCTATGAGTCTCTGTGGGTGTCTATGGGTCTCTGTGAGTGTCTATGAGTCTCTGTGGGTGTCTATGAGTCTCTGTGGGTGTCTATGAGTCTCTGTGGGTGTCTTTGAGTCTCTGTGGGTGTCTTTGAGTCTCTGTGTCTATGAGTCTCTGTGAGTGTCTCTGAGTCTCTGTGAGTGTCTCTGAGTCTATGTAGGTGTCTATGAGTCTCTGTGGGTGTCTATGTGTCTCTGTGGGTGTCTCTCAGTCTCTGTGGGTGTCTATGAGTCTCTGTGAGTGTCTATGAGTCTCTGTGGGAGTCTCTGAGTCTCTGTGGGTATCTCTAAGTCTCTGTGGGTGTCTATGTGTCTCTGTGGGTGTCTATGAGTCTCTGTGGGTGTCTATGAGTCTCTGTGGGTGTCTATGAGTCTCTGTGTGTGTCTATGAGTCTCTGTGTGTGTCTATGTGTCTCTGTAGCTGTCTATGAGTCTCTGTGGGTGTCTATGAGTCTCTGCGGGTGTCTCTGAGTCTCTGTGGGTGTCTATGAGTCTCTGTGAGTGTCTATGAGTCTCTGTGGGTGTCTATGAGTCTCTGTGAGTGTCTCAGTCTATGCAGGTGTCTATGAGTCTCTGTGGGTGTCTATGAGTCTCTGTGGGTGTCTATGAGTCTCTGTGGGTGTCTATGAGTCTCTGTGGGTGTCTCTGAGTCTCTGTGGGTGTCTATGAGTCTTTGTGAGTGTCTATGAGTCTCTGTGGGTGTCTATAAGTCTCTGTGGATGTCTATGGGTCTCTGTTGGTGTCTATGAGTCTCTGTGGGTATCTCTGAGTCTCTGTGTGTGTCTATGAGTCTCTGTGGGTGTCTCTGTGGGTGTCTCTGTGAGTGTCTACGAGTCTCTGTGGGTGTCTATGAATCTCTGTGGGTGTCTCTGTGTCTCTGTGGGTGTCTATGAGTCTCTGTGAGTGTCTCTGTGGGTGTCTATGAGTCTCTGTGGGTGTCTATAAGTCTCTGTGGATGTCTATGGGTCTCTGTTGGTGTCTATGAGTCTCTGTGGGTATCTCTGAGTCTCTGTGTGTGTCTATGAGTCTCTGTGGGTGTCTCTGTGGGTGTCTCTGTGAGTGTCTACGAGTCTCTGTGGGTGTCTATGAATCTCTGTGGGTGTCTCTGAGTCTCTGTGGGTGTCTATGAGTCTCTGTGAGTGTCTCTGTGGGTGTCTATGAGTCTCTGTGGGTGTCTATGAGTCTCTGTGGGTGTCTATGGGTCTCTGTGGGTGTCTATGGGTCTCTGTGGGTGTCTGAGTCTCTGTGGGTGTCTATGAGTCTCTGTGTGTGTTTATGAGTCTCTGTGGGTGTCTATGAGTCTCTGTGGGTGTCTCTGAGTCTCTGTGGGTGTCTATGAGTCTCTGTGGGTGTCTATGAGTCTCTGTGGGTGTCTATGAGTGTCTGTGGGTGTCTATGGGTCTCTGTGGGTGTCTATGAGTGTCTGTGGGTGTCTATGGGTCTCTGTGGGTGTCTCTGTGGGTGTCTATGAGTCTCTGTGGGTGTCTCTGAGTCTCTGTGGGTGTCTCTGAGTCTCTGTGGGTGTCTATGTGTCTCTGTGGGTGTCTATGAGTCTCTGTGTGAGTAGTCTATGGGTCTCTGTGGGTGTCTATGAGTCTCTGTGGGTGTCTATGTGTCTCTGTGGGTGTCTCTCAGTCTCTGTGGGTGTCTCTGAGTCTCTGTGGGTGTCTATGAGTCTCTGTGGGTGTCTATGGGTCTCTGTGGGTGTCTATGAGTCTCTGTGGGTGTCTATGAGTCTCTTTGGGTGTCTCTGAGTCTCTGTGGGTGTCTATGAGTCTCTGTGGGTGTCTATGAGTCTCTGTGTGTGTCTATGGGTCTCTGTGGGTGTCTATGGGTCTCTGTGTGTGTCTATGAGTCTCTGTGGGTGTCTATGGGTCTCTGTGGGTGTCTATGAGTCTCTGTGGGTGTCTATGGGTCTCTGTGGGTGTCTCTGTGGGTGTCTATGAGTCTCTGTAGGTGTCTATGAGTCTCTGTGGGTGTCTATGGGTCTCTGTGGGTGTCTATGGGTCTCTGTGTGTATCTATGGGTCTCTGTGGGTGTCTATGAGTATCAGGGGGTGTCTATGAGTCTCTGTGGGTGTCTATGGGTCTACATGGGTGTCTATGAGTCTCTGTGGGTGTCTATGCGTCTCGTTGGGTGTCTGAGTCTCTGTGGGTGTCTATGAGTCTCTGTGGGTGTCTCTGAGTCTCTGTGGGTGTCTCTGTGGGTGTCTCTGAGTCTCTGTGGGTGTCTGAATCTCTATGGGTGTCTATGAGTCTCTGTGGGTGTCTATGGGTCTCTGTGGGTGTCTTATGAGTCTCTCTGGGTGTCTATGGGTCTCTGTGGGTGTCTATGAGTCTCTGTGGGTGTCTCTGAATCTCTGTGGGTGTCTATGGGTCTCTGTGCGTGTCTCTGAATCTCTGTGGGTGTCTATGGGTCTCTGTGGGTGTCTACAAGTTCCTGTTGGTGTCTATGAGTCTCTGTGTGTGTCTATGAGTCTGTGTGTGTCTATGAGTCTCTGTGGGTGTCTCTGAGTCTCTGTGGGTGTCTCTGAGTCTCTGTGGGTGTGTCTGAGTCTCTGTGGGTGTCTATGATTATCTGTGGGTGTCTATGAGTCTCTGTGGGTGTCTATGATTCTCTGTGGGTGTCTATGAGTCTCTGTGGGTGTCTTTTGTGAGTCTCCATTTAGTAGCTGCTCACCCACAACTATAGGTGCCCTCATAGTGGGATTGCCCTGTTGGTGTCTCTGGTCTGAGACCCATAGACTACTCACACAGTAGAGACCCACAGACTACTCACACAGTAGAGACCCACAGACTACTCACACAGTAGAGACCCACAGACTACTCACACAGTAGAGACCCACAGACTACTCACACAGTAGAGACCCACATACTCACACAGTAGAGACCCACAGACTACTCACATACACAGAGACCCACAGACTACTCACACAGTAGAGACCCATAGACTACTCACACAGTAGAGACCCATAGACTACTCACACAGTAGAGACCCACATACTACGCACACAGTAGAGACCCACAGACTACTCACACAGTAGAGACCCACAGACTACTCACACAGTAGAGACCCACAGACTACTCACACACAGAGACCCACAGACTACTCACACCCAGAGACCCACAGACTACTCACACAGTAGAGACCCACAGACTACTCACACAGTAGAGAGACCCACAGACTACTCACACAGTAGAGACCCACAGACTACTCACACAGTAGAGACCCACAGACTACTCACACAGCAGAGACCCACAGACTACTCACACAGTAGAGACCCACAGACTACTCACACAGTTGAGACCCACAGACTACTCACA